ATTGGCCTATAGCATGATTTTGTGGAGATCCATTGCATTGGGATGGAGGGAGGGGGGCTCATACAAAAGGGTCCCACAATAAAAGCTGGATGGGAGATATATTGAGTGAGGACGGGTGCTTCTCTTCCTTTTGGGGTTTTGGTTTATGTGGTTAGAATTATTTATTGTTATTAACCACTTAGAATACTGTAGTGCTCAGCTCTAAGTCAAGTGGTGTATAAATGTCTATCAGGAGGACATTGGCCTGGGGATTGGCGTATAGCCATTGCATTGGGATGGAGGGAGGGGGGGTCATACAAAAGGGTCCCACAATAAAGGCTGGATGGGAGATATATTGAGCGTGGACGGGTGCTTCTCTTCCTTTGGGGTTTTGGTTTATGTGGGTAGAATTATTTATTGTTATAAACCACTTAGAATACTGTAGTGCTCAGCTCTAAGTCAAGTGGTGTATAAATGTCTGAAATAAAAGGATCCACAGGTCACTGGAGAAGAGACTGGGGGCAGAATTGACCTGTGACTTTGCAGAGGGAGGAAGGGTAGGAGGTTGTATGTTCAGGCCTTCCCTCCTGTCAATATTTAATTCTTTCTTTATATTTTTCTTTCATTTATTATTTGTTTTATTATTGTATGTGTTATGGACTGTTTGTAAAATTCTTATGTTTTATCATATACACCTTATTGGAAGCCGCCCAGAGTGGTCGACCAGACCAGATGGGCGGGATATAAATCAAATAAATAAATAGGAGTGATTTAGTGGGACTGGGAGGCATTGGGATAAAGATGAAAACCAAATGTGTGTTTTCAGGAAGAGAGAGCCGTGAGATGCCCTTGCAAAGAGAAGATAAAGCTCTAAGATTATGATGGGAATCACAACAGTGCTGGAAGGGAAAGACAGCTCAGGAGATCATGAATTCAACATTGCTGGGGCTGTGTAGGTGGGATGTGTCGTGAGAAAGCTGAGAATAGAGAAAGAAACACAGAGGGGCCAGGGAAAAGGAAAGAAGCAAAGAGACCGAATGTATGAAGGGGGGAGAGTCTCAAGAAGGAATTTCGCTAACTTCTATCTGAGATTAAAGGAAGGATTTGGAAAAAAAGGCACATGGTGAAGGAGGAGCAGGTCTGAATGGGGCAGATTTAAACTCAAGGAGATTTTAAATCTAATAATATGCAAAGATTTGTTAGAAGGAGAGCTGGGATGTAGGAGGAATTGAGGTAGGATTAAAAAGGTGGGATTAAAAAGAAGCAATGTAGGGTGGCAACTTTTATATTTTGGTTCTTCACACTTCCTAACTTTTGAGTTATAGGATACTTGGATTTCTTGAAAGATGGATAGAGTAGACATTTGGCATTTTAAAAAGGCAGTGAACAATGAATCTTGATGAGGAAGAAGATAAAGCACACGAAGGAGCACATATTTGGAAAAGGTGGGAGAGCAAATGAATTGTAAGGATGTAGAAATAATAATATTGAAAACTCCCCAAAACATGCTGCTGTAGGGTGAACATCTTTCAAGCTAAATAGCTGGTCTTGAGGGGCCCCCATTTGTGAAATGAGAGATTATCCTGTCTGCCATTTAAAAAAAAAAAGCATGTTCTCCTTTAGTGTTAAATTCTCTTTTTGTTTTCCAGACATCATAAAGATGCCAATTGCTAAAGGAAGGACTGTTTCTCACTACTGTGAGTGAACTGGGCTACCCACTGTTCCTTTGTCAGTGACTGGATTTCAGCCTCCAAGTCAGGAAGTCGTCTTAAACCCTCTGCAGCAGGTTAGAAAGATTTTTAATTACTGTCCAATCTTACTATGCCACCAAGTTCCTTTTGCCACATAATTATTTATAGAGGAAAAGGATTAATGCAATTTGCCATCTTACTAGTCCTTAAGTTGACTGATGCCACAAGTTTGAACAAAAGTTGCTCTTGCTTGCTTGTTTATTTAGCAAGGAATGAAAAAAAAGGGGGGGATTCCTCTTGCTCCCTTTTCAATCTATAGCTGACCAGAAAACCATTTCCTTGCATTCTTCTCACGTTCTTCTCAGTCATGTTTTTAAAATGGGTATATTGAACACAAAATGCAGTTTTCCTACAATCCTTTATGTGATTTGATTTCCCGTCTCACTGTGCTAGGTTTCTAAGATTTCTTCCCACATCCTTGTTTCCAGTCTTGAATACAAAGAGATCTTTATGTGCAGAGATAAGTAAATACCTTTGAGGCGGAGGAGTGTAAATAGGAGGGAAATGTGAAAATTATAATGGTTTCCCAACTTCAGGTCCTTCTTTTGTAGTGTGTCTGTTCCAATCCTTCCCCAAGTTTGTACCCCCCCCAAGATATGCCAAACTAGAGATTCCATCATCCACGGCCAGGTTTAGGAAGGCTGGGCACTCATTGGGTGGCATAAAGCTGTAAGCTGTCAATGAGATGAGCTGTTGAATTTTGTCCTCCTATTATGTGTTTTCTCCTATTATAATTATGTGTTTTCCCTTGTATATATTTTCAATTTTGTTGGGACTTACCCTGAGTCAAGATGCAAATAGGGTGAATAAAAGGCATGACTTCAAAATTGTAAATGTATTTTATTCAGAAGGAAATAATAATAATGTCTACACATTTCCTTGGTAGCACATACTTATTTGAATGTTAAATGGATTGTTTTAAATGCAGATCAGTTGAGCAGCAGTTGTATGAGTGACTGCATTGTTTGATCAACTCTACCTCCTTGTGCCTTTTCCTCCTGTGACCCTTTGAGGGCTGTTCCTCTTTGTGCCCTGGAATTTATCTCCTGCTGTGTCTCCTCCCCCACTTTCCAGGCTGGTCCTGTTTTCAGTCCCTGGATGATGATGATGATGATGATGATGATAGATAAATAAATAAATAAATAAATAAATAAATTATTATTATTAATAATAATAATAATAATAATAATAATAATAATAATGCAATTAGGGAAGGCTCTTTTTGGGGATTAGATTTGCCTGCACTTCTTCTCCTTGTTCTTGGTTCTCTTCCTGGAGGTTGGTTATTAGCCCAAATCCTGCTGCTTAATGTAAGCCCACTGAATCATTGACGATTTGGTGAGCGAACTCCATTGGAACTCGTTATATTTATTTTATTTATATGCTGCCTTTCTTCCCACAAGGAAGACCCAAAGTGGCTTACAACAGCTAAAACTAAATAACAAGCATAGATTTTAAAAACACAGTTGAAAAAACTATGCTAAAAAACAATTCAACGTGTATCAACCATAGAATCCGAGAATAATGGAGTTGAAAGGGGCCTCTAAGGCCATCCAGTCCAACTAGTAGATCTGACAGATGATTGTCCAATTTTCTCTTGAATGCCTCCATCATTGGAGCGCTCACCACCTCCCAAGGTAATTAGTTCCATTGTCGGACTGCTCTAACAGTTAATGTTTTTCCTGATCTTCAGCCTAAATCTGGCTTCCTGTAGCTTGAGCCCATTATTACATGTCCTGTATTAAATAGTAAAACCACAATTAAAAACAAATTTAAAAACATTGTTAAAATCTCTAAATTCAATAAATATAGAATTCCTGAGACTCCAGTTTATTACTTAAAAGCTTAGAGCTCTAAGATTATTGTTATTATCTGAAAAGCAAGGATATCTGCTGAAGGCCTTAGGAATGGACCTCAACAGATGGGAAACCTTGACATCTGAGCGTTCAACCTGGAGGCAGGCGGTGCAGCATGGCCTCTCCCAATTTGAAGAGACCCTTGTTCAGCAGGCCGAGGCAAAAAGGCAATCCCGAAACCAGCAAAACCAGGAAGCTGGACCGGGGACAGATTGTATTTGTCTTCAGTGTGGAAGGGATGGTCACTCTCGAATTGGCCTTCTCAGCCACGCTAGACGCTGTTCCAAGACCTCCATACAGAGCACGTGACCCTAGTCTCTCAAGCCTGAAGGAGGTCTACAAAAGGTCTTTGCCTGACAAGAGGGAGGGGGCCAACCTAGCTTAACCGGGGCCAGCTTCTCAATGCCTGGGAGCAGTCACTGAGGAGGCCCTCATGTCCTCACCAAATCCACCTGGGAAGATGGTAGACCTGAGAGAAGGGCCTCCCCAGAGGATCGAAAAAGCCAAGAAGGCTCATGTGGGGCGATGCGGTCCTTCAGATAGCCTGGACACCAGCCGTATGGGGTTTTCTATTTATCATAGTAAGTGAAAGTTAGAGTAGGCCCATTTGAATCAAGTTTGGACTCACTGAATCCCTATAGATTCAATGGGCTACTCTAGTATGATTTGCTACTCTATGCATGAAGACTTTGGCTGTTGTTGTGGCTATTCTAATTTTTTGTGCAGCATCTCTAAACAACAATGCGCGCTGCATCTAAAACATCCCGTAAGGTTTTCTGGTTTATTTCCTTTGTCCATGTCTTTTGTTTTCATTTACCTGGGAGAATAAGCTGTAACAGGCGACATCTTTGCTTTCCCAGAGTATGGCTAAAGTATTTCTGCATTTTTTGCATTCTATTTTTTTTTTTAAATCTTATTCACTTTAATACTTTTTAATTGACCATCTGTCCAATTCAAAAATTGTTGTGCTGCAGTAAATTCACATTTCAGGTGCTTCTGTCTTTTGCATAATCGCCTCTGTAACAATCCACATTTCCATGCCATTCTATAGTAAATACACAGAGTGTACAATGCATATTCTTCAAATCCATTTCAGGTCTTTGTTGCTGATTTGGGGTTTAAATTATGTGTTTTGTGTAGATTGTCAACTTCCCCAGAGCAAAAAGAGCAGGACACAACTTGAATTATTAATAATCGCGATCACTGTCATCTTCTCACTTATTATAAGGCAGCTTCCTGTCTTCTTAAAATTATTGTGGAGGTAAGGAGGAAGGGAATAAATGGAATAATGGCAGAAGAACATTTCACTGTTCTCTGGATGTAAAACAGACTATAAGGTATTAATTTTTTTTCACACCTTTCCTCCAGTGAGCTCAAGGCACTGGCCGTCCTCCCCCTGTTGTCCTCATAGCAACCCTGCGAGGTAGATCAGGCTGAGAGAGACTGGTTGTTTCCAATCAGCCAGCGTGTTTCTGGATCATGGGGACTAGAACTCACCTCTCCCGAGTGCTAATTCAGTTGTGTGTCCTGCAGTACTGCTGCCACGACTGTGCTAAGTGTTTTGAGTTCTTCCACAGCTGGCCTTGAGGGAGCCCCACCTGCAAATTGCTCATGGCCCTGAAGGCAGAAGCTCCACTGGTGGACTACATCGAGGTCTCTTCCTCCGTTTTACGCTTCAAGGAGAAAGAAAAGGTGGGGGCAGATTCTCTGCTGCCCGTCCGTGTTCCCCTCAAGCGGGATCGAGCCCATGCAAACCTCATGGATGAAGGTAGGAAACCTGTTTCAGATAATGGTGGGGTGCGGGATGCTTAAAGGCAGAGTTTAGAGTCAGTCCCCCCCCAAAGAATGTTTAAGAATTCAGGCAGATGAGTTGAACCATCTCAACAGACCAGTTCTAAGAGGTTTTCGCTTCCAGTGGAAGAATGTCTTTTGTAAAGCCAACAGTTCTTCATGCCCCCATTCAGGATTAAGCCACCTTCAGATATTTAGCACAAGTATGAGTGTTGCGGTCATGAAAAAAGCTCACAGTACCATGTTTCCCTAAAAATAAGACAGGGTCTTATATTAATTTTTGCTCCACAAAATGCATTAGGGCTTATTTTCAGGGGATGTTTTATTTTCATGTACAACAATCTACATTTATTCAGATGCAGTCATGTCATCTTATTCTGGTTGCTGCACAATAATGGAGGGCGTGGTTTCACTGAACTGGGGCTTATTTTGGGGGTAAGGCTTATATTACGAAAAATCCTGAAAAATCATCCTAGGGCTTATTTTCAGGTTAGGGCTTATTTTCGGGGAAACAGGGTAGTATTATTGTGATAACACCATTCTCTCTGATAGTGAAAAAATCCTTGGTGCTCTCCATTATGAGCCCACCTACTTTACCCTTGTGAAAAGCTTCCACTTGGGAAATAGCAGAAAGAGAGCTGTCCATTAAAGACAGAAAAAATGGTGTCTAGGGAAATGCATCTGTGGCAGTCAGGAGCAGTGGTTAAAGGACCCTCACTGAGAGACCAAGATGTTAACTTTGAAGAGGGCTGATTTCTTCATTCCAGAAGGGAGAGATTCCAGGACTGCTTTTTCTGCCCCTGGAATCTTCTGTGGGTTGTACAGACAGCCCAAAGTGAGAAAAAGAAGAAGAAGAAAAAAAGAAAAGAAAATGGAAATAGCCAGAAATCCATTTAGGATTTTGAAAAATGAGTATTGATTGGTGTTACACCCTGCAGAGGGAAGAGTCTGCATCCTGTGTCTGCGACTGGTCCCGTATCCTGGAGCCTTCCAAGAGTAGTGTTTGATCACTCTTTTATCGCTGGACGAGCCATTTTTCATTCGTTCAGATGTCACAGATATAATCCAGGGTGATCTGTTCTGGTGTCAGGGCTGCCTTTTGCCCAGAGTGGATAAAAGCCAGGAGCTTTTAAAAATCAAATTGATTTAAATCATGATTTTTTTAAAAAAAATTAAATCGATTTTTTGAATTTAAATTATCAAAAATTAAAAATAAAAATCAGATTGATTTAAATCATGATTTAAAAAATTTTTAAATCAATTTTTAAAATTTAAATTATTAAAAATTCAATTGTGATTGAAATCAGTTTGATTTAAATCTCACCCACCCCGCTTTTGCCCACCGCTTTGCTGTCTATGAACGTGCTGCTCTTTTCCACCACAGGGGAAGGACTGGTTCAAGACACAGTTGCCAGGGATAACCAAGAAGAACCAGATGACACCTGGAGGCAGGAGTACTTAATAGGTGAGAGCTCTGGACACAGCCGTCTGGTGTGCATGGTATGCGGTGGAACCTTGAACGCGTCAGGCCCAGCAGCGGCTCGGAAACACATCCTGCAGCACCATGCCCATTCCTTGGACTTCAGCCTGGAAGAAAAATGCAACATTCTGGAAGCTTGGAGCGAAGGAGCCGTCCTTCCCAACGTGGAGTCACAAAAGTCTCCTAAAGGTAACACATGCACACACATGCACACACACACACACATACACGACAGGGCCTTTCTGGGCTGTAGTTTTCAGGCTCCTTCAGGTACCATGGCTATGGCCTGTCTCCTTGGGAGATTCTAGATGTTGCAGCTCGTGAGATTTAAGACATCGTTTTGCATGTTAAAAATAGCTGCCAAGCATTCTCCACCTCATGCACCATTTTTATAAAAATACCACATGTTTTCTGGTTGGGTCTGTGCAGGTGCTGGCAGGAAGGAGTCATTTTGAAAACGTTTTTTATTTTATTTTGGCAAGCCTTTAGTAACAACAGGCATGGTTTTCAGTAAGACTTTCCCTGTCTGGCTGTCTGGGGATGATGGGCCTTTTAGTCCAACAACTCCAAAGAGGATGGCTTGGGAATCTCTGCCTTAAAGGTTTCCTATGGAAACAAGCTCCATGCATTATCTTTTCCATTTCTCCCTCATCGGTACCCACCTTGCTAGAACTCCCAGAACCTAGGGGAGCTCCCCCAAGTCAAAACCAAAAGTGGATATTTGAGCATTTCAGTTTTAATTTCTTGGTTTTAAAAAAGACTTTTGTTGACATTTCAAGTCCACATGCCGCCCCCCTGCCCCCCCAAAAATTGCCCACCTGGTGCCCTCTGCAGAACCCCTCTTCCAGTTGAAACTGAGCTTTCCAAGATTCCAGCAGGCGGAATCTATCTATTTAAGAGCACAGATTCCCATCTCTTAATGGGCTAGAAACTTGCTTCCTTAAACATATAAATGAAAGCTAAGACACTTAAACGAGGTAGAATCTGAGGCTCTTATACCCATTTCTTTACTTGTGTGGTGACCATGGAATAAGAAGGCAACTTCCTCTATGCAGCTTTTGATTCCGTTTCTGAAACTTCCTATACCAGGCAGTCCTGACAAGAGTAAGCGGCCAGCTGAAATCGAAGTCCTCCTTGATTCGGAGGAGCAGCCATCTAGTCGGAAACGTGGGCACCCGAAAGCGCGCAGTGGTGAGTGGTGGTAGTCGCCTTGACTATCATTCTCAGACCCGGGACCAGCTGTCGATGCCAGTCGGCGACGTGCCGCCCACTTGGGATGGGGAGGGCTTTGCTCTCCAGGTGCTCTCGCCTGCTGCTCTCGTGACCCTTGGCCGCCGACCAGGCTTCTGGGAGCCGGAGTCCAAAGCATCTGGAGGGCCAAACATTCCCCCATCCTCGGTAGAGAACAAGGAAGATGAAGAGAAGTCTTGGCAGTGGTCGTTTGTCTGGTAGAGATGAGGAAAGTCACCACCTGCCATGACCTCCTCTTCTGCAGAGCTAGACCTTTCTGTTTTCCCATTTTCCTCTACCATGATCACTGACCTGCAAAACATGGGACCATTACTGCTACGGCTCGTTTTCCTTCGAGATAAGACCCACCCCCAACGACAGGACCCACTGTCCCCAAGCCAGCATAGACCACCCGTCAAACCCATGGCCTTATTTGACCTGGTGGCTTTCCCCCCTCCTCCCCTTTTTGTTTCTTCTTGGACAGAGGGGGCACGCTCCGACACCGAGCGGCGATCGCAAGGGCGGCAGAGGCAGCACAGCTTGGGCAGCGTGAAAGACACGAAGAGCAAGGAGCCCAGCAAAGTGGCTGGTAAGCACCGGGTCACTTGCGGGGGGCTGCTCAGGCAGATTCCTGGGGGCAGCTGCCAAGCCATGGTAGCCTTTCCTCCTCTTCCCTTGTGCGCTCTGTGGGCAGAAGGCTCCAGGACATTTTATTGCAGTGTAGGGGTGGTAATTTGCTAGCAAAGTGTGGCTCTCCAGATGGTGGTTGTCACTCCCGTCAAAGCTAGTATGTGTATAGCCAATGACTGGTGGACAGAGTGCCTGAAGAACTATGGATGGAGGCTCGTAACATTGTACAAGAGGCAGCAACAACAAACCATCCCAAAGAAAAAGAAATGCAAGAAAGCAAAGTGGCTGTCCAACGAGGCCTTACAAAGAGCAGAGAAGAGAAGGGAAATAATATGCAAGGGAGATGGGGAAAGTTACAGAAAATTGAATGCGGACTTCCGAAGAATAGCAAGGAGAGACCGGAGGGCCTTTTTAAATGAGCAGTGCAAAGAAATGTATGAAAATAATAGAAAGTGGAAAACCAGAGTTCTGTTCAAGAAAATTGGGGATATTAGAGGAGCATTTTGTGCAAAGATAGACATGATAAAGGACAAAAACAGTAGGGACCTAACAGAAGCAGAAAACATCAAGAAAAGGTGGCAAGAATACACAGAAGAATTATACCAGAAAGATCTGGATGTCCCAGACAACCCAGATATTGTGGCTGCTGACCTTGAGCCAGGCATCCTGGAGAGTGAAGCCAAGTGGGCCTTAGAAAGCCTGGCTAACAACAAGGCCAGTGGAGGTGATGGCATTCCAGTAGAACTATTTAAAATCTTAAAAGATGACGTTGTCAAGGTGCTACACTCAATATGCCAGCAAGTTTGGAAAACTCAGCAGTAGCCAGAGGATTGGAAAAGATCAGTCTACATCCCAATCCCAAAAAAGGGCAATTTCAAAGAATGCTCCAACTACTGAACAATTGCACTCATTTCACATGCTAGCAAGGTTATGCTCAAAATCCTCCAAGGCAGGCTTCAGCAGTATGTGGACCGAGAACT